AGGTCAGCACCCTGTCCCTGGGACCTTTCCAGTGTGTTAAATCCACTATCTGTAACTCTCCCTTGCTTTTCTTTATATTTGGTCTCCCAGCACCTTCAGAATCCAATCCCATAATTCTCCCGGTGCCTACAGGACCATGTTGGCGAGGTCCTACAGCTTCCTCAGGATGTGATTCTTTTCCTCTTCTAGCAGGCCCAGCAAGCTGGCAGCCAGGCTGCACTGCGACTTAAGTCATCTGGTCAGATGAGGGGTAGAGGAAATGGGAGATATGCGTTATCATGCAACAGGAGCAGTATTTGCATTATCCTCAGAGAGTGAGCATGAGTTTTAACAGGAAGGGGCAGGCCACTGGGATTCAGGGGGCGTTCACTGCAATCTGGGGATTCAAGATTGTTCAAATGCATCAACCCAGGCAGCTCTTTCCATCTCAGTTAGGTCTGTGACCTGGGGCAGCAGACCTTTCAAGGCTGTCCCCCTTCCTCTGGAACTCCGTGTCCCATTGTGAGTCCTGGGCCTGGCTCTTAGTGTATCTTTGGCTATACATGAGCTCTCCTGAGACACAGCCAAGAAATCTCTCTGGCTTTCACATTTAGCCTTTAAGTGGTGATTAATCACCCTCAGCCTTTCATTGTCTTTTTCCAGTGCACACAGAACTGTCATCCACGACCACTGTTCTTAGTTTCTGCTCTCCCTTCTCAGACCCTCGGCACGCTCCCTTGCATTCCACATCATCATCGATAAAAGTTTGAACAGTAGCACAGTTTCAACCGGCTGGAGGCTATCCATGATCACTGCCTATCCACGATGGGATCCTGCTTGCTACGGGCCAGGGGGTGACCCAGCTTCCAAACCCTGTTTCTCTGGGTCACTCTGGGTATCAAATGTCATAGCTTGGGTTCTCTGGGATGCAGACTGTATAAGAGAGATCTGTCTGCCTACAAGAAGTTTACAGGGCAGGGTTCCCATGATTCACAGCTGCAGGGAAGAGAAGCAGTACCAGGCAGAGGCTGAGCTGCGATGCAGTTCAATGAAGGCTTTTGGCAGTGCTCAGAAAGGTCTGGATCTGAGAAGACCCTTCACAGGTATTCTGAGATGCAACTCCACGCAGGGCCTCTGTATCTCCTCCTTAGCCCGTTGTGGGATGTGGTTGCACCGGGAAAGGGAGCATGATCTCAGACAAGACAGTTCCTTGGCTGGGAGGCAGTCTCTAAGAAGGAGCTGTTAGATGCCAACACTCCCAGAAGCTGAGGTAATAAATGTTCCATCCCAGGGTAGGAGAACCTGGGCAGAGCAGTGCCAGGAATCCAACTTGCTGTGTTAGCTGTACTCTAGATAAGGAGGATGTATAACTTAGTTTTAAAACAAAAAGCTTTTTGAAAAAAGAAAATTGAATGTGAAACTGAGAGAGAAATCTTTTATTAGTGTCTTTGCCTTGTACATCTCAAGTATCCTTTGACAAAGAAGCCCGGCTGCCCATGACTGCAGTAGTAGCTGTTGGTAATGTCCACCAGTGCCCTTCAGATTGTAGGTCTGGAGTAGCTTATAGCACTCAGATCCCGTAAAGGTTTGGGCTTCTATAATCCCTACCTTCCATTCCCTCCATCCTCCCAATTAATTTCTATGTATTCAAGGCCCAGCTCAAATGACTCCCTTCTGCAAAGCCTAACTTGATACTGCCCCACCAGCACTGATCACCCTTTTCCTTCACCGCTCTTCACCTGTCTCTATTTATAGTACTTTTTTGATAGTGTTGAGCTCATCTGCAGGAGGAAAATAGAATACAGAACATACGCTTATCACCTCTTGGCCTTCTGGCAAGGATCAAGTGTGGAACATATGGTTGTCCTATACTAAGATTCAGTTAATGCTTGCTGATCGAATAGGAATAACATCTCATTGCTATATCTTTAAATTATTTGTACATTTTTATTAAAGCAAAATCTACTGAGTGGGTCAAGCTTTATAGAATAATTTCATTTCTGGGTAAATTGAAGTGTTGTCATTTTGACCTTAGCCAAAACAAGATGTTGGCAGCAAAACCTTATTTGTTTTCTTTGCTTTCATGATTCTATGGAACCCATTCTACAATACTTTTTTCAGGGTCCTGTTCAAACTGGACACCTTTTACAAAGATATTCATTAAGTAGTTCAATGTTATCTCAGACGCTAATGTGAATCTTCAATTTAATATGGTGATCTACTCCCTTTTTGAGGGATCAACCATAACTGACCAGTCCCATCCACGGGCATATATTCTGACATCTCTTCATGTTTACAGACTTTTGTGAGAAGCAAGATGGGAGCACACAGCAATTTGGTAAAGAAGATGGTGAATACAAGCAGATTATTTGTTGGATAAATGTCCAGGTCTCCATTTGGTACATGGATAGAGACAAAAACAGAACAAAAATTCAACAATATTTTCCAAGAACATGGGAAATTTTGTTTATCCATGCTCAACAAGAAATTCCAAATGTTTACTATAATATTAGCTTACACTTATGGAGTACTTATTAGCTGCTGTTGCTCTTCCAAGAATGTTACAGGTGCAATTTCATGGATTTAACAAATGAAGTATATATTTACTTGATACCTGCTGCAATTCAGGAATGATATACTCCTAGTCTTCTCTGGGAAATCTCAAATATTGAGGAATCCTGACGGGCTGCATTGTCCATTTGAAACCGAATAGACCTGACCTGTCTCCTCAGAGTAGAATGGAACTTATTAAGGAGAAAGAGGGTGTATAAAGTGGGGCTGTACATTCAACACCATTTCAATGACTTGTTTGTGGTACTGGGGATTGAACTCAGGTTTTGCACTGAGCCACATTCACCCCAGCCTTTTATTTTATTATTTTACTTTGGAACAGAGTCTCACTAAGTCACTAAGTTGCCCAGGCTGGGCTCAAACTTGTGATGCTCCTGCCTCATCAGTAACCATTTTTAGCAATCCCGATGAGGCACATCATTCAGACCTACTTTGTACTTAAGATTTTTTTGTCTTTTTGAGCTTGTCTGGAAGGTGTGGGCACCATTTGGCTTCTTTTTTTTCTAATCTGCAGGAAAGCAAAGAATCTATATCCACTTGATGGAGGTATTTGTCCACAGAATAAATGGATCCAGTCTTGCTCGCAGGAGTGGAGTGAGTAGCTTATCTTTTTCCTAGAGGTACATAAGCTTCTCACTCAGAAGAGTCCTAATTAGAAGACCTTTATAAGTAATTTGCTTAAAGGGACCTGGAGAAGCTAGAAACAATTTAAACTCCAATGGTACAGGAACTCTTTTCTCATGCAAATGATCAGAACAAATGTGACGGAGGGTCTAAGATTTATAATGTCACCACCGCAGGATCAGCATGCACTGCAAACCAAACCTTGAGATGTTAGCACAAAATAATACAACCATTCAATGCCCAATGCATGTCCAAAAGGATGCACAGAAGTCTGAATGCCCTGTCGGCATGCAGTATTTATCAGGCTGCCTTTATAAAAATATAAGGTCTGATTAAAGAGAGATGCCACTGTGAGCTCAGTTCATTTAAATGACAATGGCAAGCACAAACCCCTCTGTAGTCTTTTTTTTTTTTTTTTTTTAGTTTGTAAACAGCAAAAAGAACTGGAACATCTAATTTCTGAAACCCTTCTGGCTTTTCTTTCTGACCTTTGGTATTTGTATGTATTGACGATCTCTAAACCATTGCACAAAAACACCTTGAAGTGTCAAGCTTTAAAAATGAGTCTTCTTTTCTCTTTCTCCTGTGCAGCGTGGATTATCTTGGCCTTGTCAAAATACATTCTCTAGTTAGAGGGTGGAAATATTTCCCTCCTGGCTCCCAAGTATTGATTTTCTTCAACATTCAGCTCTGTCCGTCAGGCAAAGGGGTGAAAGGTGAAAGTTCACCCAGCACTGCTTGGATTTACCTTCCTATTAATGTCATGCCCTTTCCACATTTGATCAGTTTATGTGATCACCAATCATACAGAACTGTTACTGCTCTTATTTTCCTATAAGGATACATTTGAGTCATCAGGGAGCATTAATACAACTCCCAGGGCCAACACTGGGCATGTGATAGGACCAAAGATGCTGCAGTCAATTCCTGTATGTTTATCTAATTCTGAGAGATTATACTGTTACATGATGATTGACTCAATTCAAGCTGTCTGTGTTCTTATCTGAAAGCATTCAAAGCAAAGTATGTGTGCTACTTACACATGGTGCTCTGAGCAATAGGACCTATTTTGTTTGTTATTCTTACTTTTGCTGCAAACCAATTATACACTCTTTACCTCAGGGATTCAAATTCAGCTCCAAGCTGAATATTAAATGAAACAAATTTAATGACCTCATTCCAGCTCCCGAGAGGCAGCCAACCCATGTCATCAGGTCTGACAAGATATAATTTGGGACAATCAACAGTCTATTTAGGAGCAACTTAGGGTAGAGATAAAGGAACGCGCATGTCATGTCCCTGCCCATGCCAAAGAGGGTGCTGTGGAGTTTCTCCACCTGGTTGTCTCCTGCTTCTGAGATGTTTAATGCCACCAAGGCAGGATCAACACGCACTGCAAAACCAAATCCTGAGATGTTGGCACAGAATGATACAACTGCTCAAAGCTCAATTCGTATCCCAAGAGATGTACAGAAGCAAGAAGCCCAAACACTCTTCTGGCATGCACTCTTCATCAAGCTGTGTCTGTAAAATGTGAGGTATGACTATAGAGAGAAAATAACCTGGAAACGCACCATTGTGAGCTCAGTTAATTTAAATGACAATGGCAGGCACACACCTCTCTATAGTGCTTTTTTTAGCACTGTGGGTGAGATTTCCTTTCCCTGTGCTCTACTGTCCTTTGAGAAGAACAAATTCTTACTTCCTGAAGTTCGTGTTTGCCCAGTGAAATGAATAATCAGGAACAGAATGGGGATATGGATTTCAACTGAGAATGTTTAAGAAGAGTGAACACTAGGAAAAGCAGTAATAGGTGAAAAACAATCTTCAGTACAATTCAGTTTTATTTAACACATGTATGTACACAGGGACATTGAATACACATAGAATTTAAGTGGAATCATCCAGAAATGTCTTGGGAGGCAGACATTTGAATTCACTCACTGTGCCCAGTGAGTTCAATCACTACGACATTTTCATATAAGTGTCACGTCATGTCATCTTTTGCTTGTAAATTACCAACAAAGCCACATACATCTTTACATTTACAAGGACAGGTCCAAATGCAGTGCCAACGAAATCAATAAAACACTAAGTGCGTACACTGATGACAACACAAAGTTTACCTTGCTGAACAATCCAAGCTGGGGTGAAGCTTAGGACTGTGGGTGTCAAAATAGCCAAGAACAGCGTTGCATCAACAAGAATGTAGATGTTAGTGCAGCAGTTTAGAGATGCACCTCGTCATGCACTATCTCCACCCCCTGCAGAGTTTTACAGTCCTCATGTCCACTGGCTCATCAGTGTGGCTGCACACAGGCCTCGGAGGCAGTGGTGGCCCTCACCCATGGCTTTTGCTCTTTAGGCCCTTGCAGCTTAGTGTCTGTCTCCATGGTGGGTCCATCTGTGCATCTGCAGTGGCCTGCCTAACACTCCCAGTCCTTCTCGGTGATGCACAGAACATTTTGCTTAAAAGAAACATTCGAAGGTATACATTCACCTCACTATTTCAAATAGTTCTGTTGCCTATAAGTTAATTTCGATTTCAGTCCATGCAGAAAGCATGTGCTGAGTACGGAGCAGACTCCAGAGCCCACTGGGAAAACAAAGTGCACCTCACGTGTTTCTATCTACACCGAGCACACAGCATGTTCACCACACGAAGTCTACACTGTGTATTTCTGGGTTTCTTCCTTGGCATCTATGTAGGTAATCGTTATAAAGACAATGTGCATGCATGTAGCATAAATTTACTTTTGAGAGAACACCAACGTGTACAATCAAGGAACAGTACAGTTTAGCCACTAGTGGAAATAACATCTTATATCAGTATGAAAGATGTTCTAGCGGTCTTAATTTCTTAATATGTTCTTTAATAACTTGTTTCAGTAAAATAACAGATATATTTGTTCCTGGACCTTGAGCCTACCTTTTTATATAGTATATACATTCTGACAATCTGTGCCTTTTAAATTAAAACCTCTGATGTTATTTTGGTTCCTCTGTGAACTTTACATATTTTCTCTGAATTTAATAAATCATGTTCTTTTCTTGCACTTAATAGACCATTTCCCCAACTAACTAACAAACAAAAAAGCCCCATTATATATAGATCAAAGTCTGTGAAATTCAAACAAAATATTTTTGATGGATTTTTTTTTCCATTACTATAAGCAAGAGGAGTCCATCTTGACCCAGGGAAAAGGTGATGTAGTTGAAACTTACTCTGAAGCGTGCTAGACACTTCCACTGCAATGTCTGCTTCAAGTGACCGAGAGCCTCACATTCCAATATATGCTCTTGAACGTGAGTGCCACTGCTAATAATTCTGTAGGATTCTTGTTTTAGAAAATGCCTTCTAATTTTCCTTTAAACTCACCAGGAGATGGAAGGCTGACTTAGAGTTATCATGTGATAGCTGTTGTGTGGAACTGCAAGGTGTGGGTGACCAGAGGGAAGGAGTATGCGCTTTCCTGAACAAAAGACTCCGCAGCAATACACAGGCATCTTCACTTCAGGGATGTGCTATGCTTTCAAACTTGGTTCTTCATCACAAAAGTCCCTTAAAAGATTAATTATAGTGACTGGATAATTATACTAGCTAGATCACAGGTAGTGATTTTTATTTCAAATTATTAAATACACTACCATTTAAGCAGGAAATGAGCATTTTAGAAGGCTAAATGTCTGGAAAATTATATCTTCTATAAGGAAAACATTCACACATATGTATATATTTTTTCCTCAACTATCTCAAATCACATAGGTGTCACTAAAGAAAGTGGTGGCTAAATCCTAGGAAATTGAATACAGTAATCTCCTAGCAATCACCAGAAGGGAAAAAAAACCATGTAAACACAGAATCTTTTTCGTAAACGACAGCATGTTTAGGAAATCCAAAGGGGAGTAATTTCGCTAATGAAGACTGCCACATCCCCGTAACACCCAGTGCCAGCACAGCCAGACTCGAGCAGCACCTCAGAGCTGGGCTGGAGGGCTGGAAATGCTGACGGGGTGGGAGTGCAATCACAGTGGTTATTGATTTTCAGGCTCTGTTGCACCAAGCAACAAGAGCGTTCTCAGGAACCATCGGCTTTCCCCTCCCATCCCTGGCAGGGAAAAACTACCTAGTGACAGAATGGCCACCTCCTGTCGAGCAGTGAGTGCGTGCCGCTGAATCGGCCTGTGCGCGAGTCTGCCCCCAAGAAACATGCACAAGTGACACCAACCCGGCCGTGCCCCTGGTGACACTGGGGTGGGCAGGCACCGAGGAATGATCCAGTGTAAGACAGAGCAACGTTGGCCTACAGTTTATAGAACCAAGATCCAGTTAGGGCAACAGAAAGCAACATCAGACCACGAAGCGGTGTTCCTTCCCGTCGTGCGCCATGAGGATGACGTTGCGGTTGGAGGTCCAGATGAGCCGGGCCAGCTTGAGGGCGTTGTGGGAGCCGGGGGAAGCTGGCTGCACGGGGGGCACCTGGTAGGTTTTAATGCAGCGTAGCTGAGGTGCCGAGTTCAGCATACCAATGCTTCCCAGTAGGGACGTGTTCATCTGTGGACAGGAGGACACACATATCACTCAGAGACCTTTTCCCTTTCACAGAGCGCCTCCATCTCTTCTGGTTTTCTGTGGCTATTCACACCCACATAAAAGTTATTCTAAACCTCCACAGGGCTCCTTCTGGCAGATCTGAAAGTGTTCTGATGCTGTTACTGTAGATGCATAAATCTAGAGAAATTTAACTTTGTTGGTAGAAGCTGACAGCAGGGGGGTTCACTGATCTTTAGGAAGGAACTAAATTACACCTGTTCATAAAAAGTTTCAATTAGATAATATTCGGAAAGCAGGGTATTTCAAACTGCAGACCTTTTCCTTCTTTGGCAGTCATGCTAAGGGCATCCCTGCAGGATGAGTCAATGAAGACAACTTTTAGGGTTTATAATTAGTTCAAGAAAATGAAGAAAAGTTAAACTACAGAAAAGAGTGATACTTTACCAATCTGAGCTCAAAATTCAACCCCTCAGCCCCATTACCAATACCTTTGTTCCTCACCTGCTTCTCAAAAGCTGGCTCTGGAAAGCTCTTGCTTATTTTGAAGGGAAAAACAAGTCAATATCATCTCATTGCTTTGATACCCTGCTAAAGAGAGTATGTTCTCCACAGTTTGTCAAAAATACCTTTTTATCAGCTGGTGATTTCTGCTTTTTGGCAGTTTTTCTGGATTTGAGTTAAATTTAAATTTTCTTAATACATTCACACAACTGAAAAATAACATGGAAACTATGAATCATGAATAACTATGCATTCAGGTCAAACTGCTAAATACTGAACTGCAGTTATCTAAGGGAACTGTTTCCAGCTGCTCTTCTTTAGGTTCCGAGTATTAACTTAAGATGTTTTCTCTATGCGTCATTTGTGCTATCATGAGCCACACAGAAAGCATACTGAAAATCTGGAAAGAAGCCTTGGAAATGTTTTTTTTTTTTTTCCCTCTGTATTAATTTTGTTTCTAATTCTCACCAGTGAAACCTCTATCTACATGCATAAGATGCTGGGGATTTGGGTGAAGCATGCAGATTACAATCCAACATATACAAATGGTTGTTACGTGAAACCCTAGCAAATCCTAGGACATTTAAGATGTGTTATTGCTGGTATCATGCTCTGCATGTGGATCAGTGCAAACTACAAGCCATTCCTTTTCCAGCCCTTCTCAGCAGCGGGATGGTGTCAGAGGGCGTAAATCACGGCATCTCTAGCAGAGTGTGTGCAGGCTCCACTGACATTTTCACAATTTAAATCATCTTGAGTAATAACCCTTTTAAGATGACTAATGTTACTGATTTTCCTGCATTAATAATAGTGCCGAACACAACACAGAGGTGAAAAAAAATCACTAGTGTATGAGGTCACATTTTAAAACCAAATGTATGGTTATTGTTAACTCTTTCTGTTGAAGTTTAGTTTCACTTAAAGCCAAGCACTACCTCACTGTCACCCTTCCAAAAGCACTTTTCCTTATGTCCTTTCCTCTTTTTTCCCCCAAAAGACTCCAAAAGGCAAAAATCAATGCTTTACTGCTTTTTAGGAGTTCCCAAATAGAATAAATACAGGTAATGGTGAGTTTAATTTGATAGTTTTCACTTCTATAAAAAGTAACAGTGTATCATTTACTCCTCTTACAGAACAGATCTAAATGATCCAGAAAATTGCTAGTTAAAATTAACCGGCATCAACAAGCATACCGTGCTTTGGAAAAACATAATTTCTCAGTTGATAAATAACTGCAAAGTATTTTTTATTTTTTATAGATTTTCTATGAAAATATGTATGAAGCTTATTGTAAATACGCATGCTGGTGGCTCAAAATGTAGAGGGCATAGAACACACTCAGAGACTTATCCAGTTTTACTTCTTTCCTGGAAATTTAGTCATGGACAAGGAATGAGGGCTAAAAGGGGTGAGGAAGTGAGCACCTTATGGGGATGCTATGCAGAGGGGAAGATTTTCAGAAAAGACCATTATTATATCTAGGCTCCCCCTTTTTTTGTTTGTTTGTTTTATTTGTTTTTTTTTCCCGGTACCAGGGATCGAACTCACAACCTTGCGCTTGCCAGGCAGGCGCTGTGCCGCTGAGCTAAACCCCCAGCTCCTAGGTTCCCCTTTTAACCTAGCCATCCCTATTTTGGTTCAATGCCTTTGATAAAGACAAACATCCTTCCTGCCTCAGTATAGTGCTATGTACAGTCCTGTAGGGTATGTAACTGCTACAGTTGCATACAGTTGGAACAGCTAGGACCTTTGTGTTCATTAAATTTCACTGCTTCTCTGACCATCCTTTCTCTATGACCTCCCTGAAAGAGGAAGGGATCTGAGTTAGTAAGGGTGACTTAATTTTTCCATAAGTTCACCTAAAGAACTCTCACCGACTGAAACAATTAAAAATTTTGTTCCTCAACATTAATTTTTTCTTCACTGGCATCTGGCTGCAAACTATGCTAAAATAACAGCAACTTAAACCTTGAGTCAGTAAAAACCACATGGAGTTGGAATATTTGGTAATATTCTTCTCCTGACCACAAAGATAATAAGCTATAGTGTATAAGATTCAAATACTGTAAGTATAGATTGCAATCCCCAAATCTCCTGAAATTTCTGATCGTCACTGTGAGCATTTTGGTAAACAACATCAGAGAGAGAGAGAGACAGAGAGAGACAGAGACAGAGACAGAGACGCAGAGAAAGAGAAAGAGAAAGAGAGATTTAAGGAATTTTACAATAGACAGACTCATTAAAAGGTAGTTGCACATAAGCCAGATACAGAAAGACAATTATCACATTATTTTTCTCTCATACATGAAAACTAAATTAAAAAAAAAGATAGTATGAAAGCAAGGAGGGACTATTAAGGACCAGGAATGAGACAGGAGGGAATTTAATATGGAGGAGGCAGGGAATGGTAGGAGAAGGGAGTGCACACACGATGGAAGCACAATATATGCATGCACACAAATGCATGGTGAAACCTGTGACTTTCTATAATTATTATGCACTAATATTAATAAAGGTATTTTTGTGGTCTGCTTTTTCATTCAACAAAATGTTGAGGGCAATCTTTCCATGTTAACGACTATAGATTTACATCATTGTTTTTAAATGCCTGAATAGTATTCTACTGTATGATAAGAGTTAAAAAAAAAAAAAAGAAACCGATATCCATCTAATTTGTTATTAGCATTCCTGAAAGAGAACACTTATTTACTGGACCATGGGGGTAAAATTTAAGTGTGGGAATTACTAACACATTCATTATCAAAATACTCTTGCTCAGACACCAACAGATACACTGAAGTAAATACTCAAATTACAGGAATATGATGTTAGAGAATCACAGGGTTTGAAAGATTACCAAATCACATTATTCAGTAGCTGAGTATGTCTCTAAAATGCAACTTTGGTTTTTCCTTTCCCTTCAAAAATATGGTTCATAAAACCAGTTCTGTGAAGATTATTTCCTGAGCACAGAAACACATACAGATACCGTTCATCAAAACAGGAAATGTTTTAATGCTTTTCCTGGTGTAAGTAACGCTGCATACAACCTTTTACGAAGTCTCACTTGAGTAATTATCCAACCAATATTTCTCATTAACACTCATTGCTCAGCAAAGATTTTAATAGTTGATAGCTTTAGTGAGGGTCTGTATTAATAAGACTTCCCTAAGTTTTCAACATATAGTATACTTACTGGAATATATAAAAGTGTTCTATACATCATTAGAACTAAACAATGTGTATCTAGATAAATCAGGCTAGCCACTTTGGGGAGAACAGCAGTAGATCCACTGCATTCTGGATTCTTTATCTAAAACAAAAGATCATTACACTTCTGCAAGAGGTTTCACTGTATTTTCTTGATAAAGCCAAAATGGCCTGTTTCCATGTCTTACACTTAAATCTCAAAACTGAGCTGGGTATAATTTAAGCATTCAAGGAAGACTGCATCTTAAGCCCTGATATTGGCTTGAGGGGCAGAAGAGGCCTGCGTGTTACCAAGTTGCTGGAGTGCTCTGGCATGTGGTAATGATATCTGGTGTAGTTGAGCTTTGAGACTAAGGGACCATGCTGTACCCACACTGCACAGAGCTACAGGCAGGCATGGGCCCTAATGCCCTCCACAAAGCCCAGAAACAATGAGAGGAACTGAAGAGGAAAACAGGGATCTCAATGGTAACATCTACTGAATGATCTTGACTTCTGAGGTGAAAAAAAAAAAAAACCCACCCCTCCCAACAACTAGATACAATCCTACCACGGTGCTCAGCAGAGATTTTGATAGGCAAAAGAATATTTTAAAGAGAAGATGAACACATGTATCCAAACAAAACCATAAAGATCTAGACAAAGTGAAGAAGAAAATTTACTACTTAGAAAATTCAGGAAAACCCTGGAAAAAGCGTTAAATGTGACTAATTTTGGAGCAATTCCTTTATACAGTGAATTATGTTTTCTTACCAAAAAAGTTGACAAACGAAGTTTAGTGTATTCATTCCAGAGAAGAAATCACAGACAGAACAAAAGCTCCTTTACAGCAGGCCCAGGGACTTGCTGATCTCCATAAGCACCTCACTCTTAGACACCCAGGCAATGTTCAAAGAATGAAGCTTTATATTCCAAGAGAACAGGAAATAAAGGAAATCTGTATCGGAGTACAGTTGGAAAATGGCACAAAGACCACTGTATTGGTTTTGAGTAGCAAAAACCATCAGTAGGTAAACTCTTAAAAGAACCATTGTTGGAGGAGTCCAGCTTATGGACACTTAATGGACTCCCAGTGGGGCTTCGGTTATAGATTCCAACCCTGTGGTTACCCGCCAAGAACAATGAAGATGGGTGGGATCGCCAATGGAAGGAGTTTAATATGAGCTAATTAAGAGGCTGGAGATATATTCTGGAAGAAATGATAATGAGAAAATAAGTTGGAAATCTAAACTAGATGAAAAGTAGAAAAAATCTGAAACAGATTTGGAACTTGTCATGCTTTAATAGCATGTTGTTAATTAAGCAATTTATTGTATCCGTTTTACATTTTATTAGCTATTGATTTTTTTAAACCATCATCAAGTTGTTCTCAGGCCTTGTTTAAACTTTGATTTTATTTTTAGCTTTCAAGGCAATATGCAGAAACTTACACAACATACTTGCATCCTAGGAAAATACAAGTGGCAACAAAATTTAAATTAACTCTTAAGGGGCTTGGTAATATTTAGATTTTGTAAATTGTTAGGTCTAAAAATGTAAGGCAATAAGAAAGCAGATAAGCTTGCAATTAAGAACTGAGGCTGAAGTATAGTGTGTCGTATAGTCTGTCGTAAATGCTAGTCGCTCAAAATTAGTATTCATGGTAATTAAAATCAAACAGAAACATTCCCATGAACTACCCAATAAAGATAGTCAGATCTTTAAAAATATTTTCAAAACCTAGGAATGAAGAGTATTTTGTGGAAAATTTAGAATGCAAACAAAATAAGATATTATAAAGGGGACACAAAGCAAATACTAAGAAAATACCTCACCGTCCTGTGCCCTACTCCTGGCAAATAACCAAGGACCCTGTTAGAATGCTTTGTGTACATTAACAGCCTGAGCCTGATTCCTTTCAGGCCAGGCCCTCACACTCATCCTTGCTTCCTGTGTACACACTGCACCTGCGCTCTCCACACCTGCCCTCTGCAGCATCCCACAGGGCTCAAGTTATGTGTCACCTCCTCTGGAAAACCTGCCCATAGCCACACTCAGCTTCTCTGCCCTGTTACTGCTTATTCATCTGTGTCTCCTTCAGACTGAAAGCTCTGCGACAGCAACTGCCCCTCTTCTCAGACGCTAACTGTATTCTTGGCACCCTGAGGGTAGTGCCTGGTACACAATCAGCAACCCATAAACACTTTCGATGGGTGGAAAGGCAGGAAAGAGGCTGGCAGGTAGGCTCAACAGGAAGATTTTCCCACCGAAGCATAGCATGAGTATTTACTTCAAGTCCCTGCAGCATCTACTCTTACCTGCCAGAAAGAAATGTGACTGTCAGTGTTTGAGTAGGTGGCAAGATATCGTCCATCAGGAGCAAAGGCCACTGCAGTGATTGGTCCCTTGTGTCCATGGATTGTCTGCAATAAAATTTATAGGTCATTAATGGTAGGCATTCTACAGAACTACATACACAAGTGCACATGTAAATGCATTCATGCTGAACAAATTATGTCATAGATATAAGACATTGCTATGTTCTTTGTTTAGAAAATCAGGTTAGGAAAAATAAGAAAAGCAACCAAACTGTATGTCCAAGTGTCCAAGAGGATTAATCTTGCTCTGAGGAAGGGACCTATCTTCTAGTTGAGAGGACAATCTTGTAAAGCATATATTTAATATACTTTACATAATCTATGTAAAGCATATATTAATAGGCAAACAAGTGTTTCAATACATTTATGTCTATTACAGGGAAGAATTTCCCAATTAATTAGAAAGGTGAGAAGCTGATCATCAAAATTACCCAGGAATCTTGCTTATCTGAAATGAAAAATAAGCAAATCTGTATCACAATACCCCTGTTGTGGAAGGAGTTAAAGACTGTAATTTCAACTCCTTAATAATCACACATTTTTCATGTCTTATGCTTGATTTTTGACCAATAACACTGTTTAAATGCATATAGCTGCAATTAGTAAACATATATACATGCATGTGTTGGACACACATATAAATCAAACACTATTAAAAACAAGTTAACAGGGATAGTTTTGAACCTTTGCCAATAGCTATCATTGATTTAACCATGAATAATAAACAGGAAGTTGTAATTTAGGCTAGGTCTTTGATAAAAGACCTTACTAATAAAAAAATAAACTCAAATTTGATGACATTACCAATTACAGAAAACAGTGCATACTAAGCAAATTAGCATTAATATTATATGAATTGCCTTATTTCTATCTTTAAAACCACATTTCTATGACATTAACCAAAACTCAGTTGACCTCATAAGCTATAGTCAGTCTTCTCCCATTGTCTATAAGGGAATGGAGACAGTATCATCTGTAATTTGTGATGAAGACATGGAAAACTTGAGCCTCAGTGGGAGCATGGAGTTTATTATGTGATTCAGCCCATATACACTGTACTGTAAACTTTAGGAGGATGTTTTTCATAATTCCTATCTGAAGACTAAAATGAGAAAGGGAGGGAGAGGGAAAGGGACACAAGCACATTCTCCAGTGCCCTTTGCCATCAGTTACTTCCAGTCATTTCACATTCAAGGCACTGTGGGATCCAAAAGAATGCTTGTTTTTCAACACTCAAAGAAAAGGCGTTGCACTGGAAAGACAGGCTGGGCTTTCAGCAGGGAAAGGGCACTAATTTGAGCCTGACTGTCTTGGTTTTGCCTTTGGGCTTCACTATGTGCTAATTATGGAAACTGGGGCCACATTATTGAAGGTAGTTAACTTCAGAGAACCATGTCTATAGTTTAGGGGTGATGATGATGATGATGGTGGTGGTGGTGGTGGTGGTGGTAATGACTAGATATACCTCAAAGAGATCTGTAAAAATTAAATGAGATAATACATACACAGCTCTCTCCACGATTTATGGTACGTAAGAATTTAACAAATGCTGACATTTTTATTATTCCTGCTTGCTTAGAAACAGCCAAATGTGAACAATCACATAACTCAACTACTTGAGTATGCTGTTTAATGAACTCCCGCCCCCACACAAAAAATGCCCAGACCATTTATTCCCAAATCAACACACCTCAGCATACTAGGTTGCTTAGAAACAGACTAGACTGTGAATTTCATCAAACACATATGGGAGCTAGCCATGGTGCTGGCTCACAAATGTACTAAATTAAGCAAGGGATATGTTTACTGAATAACTACTACATGAAACCAGCTTACCATCGATTCTACTAGAGTGAAAATTATTCTAAACATGGAGAGGAGATGGAGGGGCCTCAACCAATTAAATGGGAAAACTGGCCATTACTACCTGCAAGCTGTAAGCTGGTCTTTTCCCTTATAAAACCAGTTTAATGAACTCACTGGGCAAGCGTTCTGGTTTTTTAAAAATCAATATTCAGTTCTGCAAAAAATCTGAAATTTTACTGGGCCAATCTGCATCTAATTTTTGGTTAAGATAGCTGATCGGGAAGACCTTGATTTACAACAGAGGTTGTAAACAGCAGACTTTTAAGCTGAAAGCAAATGGTACACATGTTTAGTTTGGCTTGCAAAAATGTTAAGATATTTTGAGCCCAGGTTTCTAATTCATTAGCTCTCCTGTAAAATCAGGATTTCTAAGGTTTCCTGAAAGACTGGAGGACGGACAATAACAGGCCTTTTTTCACACACAGTAGCAGCATCCATGGCTGAGTGGAGGTGGCCACTTCCCCTGGGCATTTGCTCTTCACTCACAGCCCGGCACTGACACAGAGAAGACTGTACCACGCTGGCTGGCTTGCCGATTTCCTGCCTGGTCCCTCACGGCATTCACGGTAATCCTTCCATTATAATTATTCAATTCAAAACAGTTTTGGCATGCTCTGAGATCCTGGTAGCCATCTAAATTTGTGAGCAGATTAAAAGTTCTCCTAAGAAAAATTGGCTCTTCTTGAGAGCCCTCACAGCCCAATTCTGAATGGAGGTAGATCGATCTTTCTTCTGGAAACTGGGCCTTACATTTCAAAACAGAATTTAAGGCTTCCACCCTTCAAATTAGCATCCTTCCCCAATGAGCAACCAGGTTGTACTTCAAATAATAGTGAGCTGAAGATAAACCAGCAGGCCCTAAGGATGTTACAGCCCAACAAACATGCCAACACACCTTTCTGCCAGGCTGCATAAGTCAGCCCTGTTGTAAAAGCATAGAAATCAGATACACAGAAACCACACTTTCTCCTTCAGCACAGTCTTCACTATTTCATCCTCGGTCTTCACCTGAGAGCTGATATTTAGAACATCCACTTGAAGGATACTTCTGCATAAGCTGTTCATTGTTATCTACTGTCTAACAGAACATCCTGTGAAATAAGTTCATCCACGAGTTTTCTACCAGGAAAATGTTTTTTTTTTTCTTGCTCAGTGTCATTGCTTTTTTTTGTCATGCCACAAGAATTACATAATCTAACATTTGTTTTTCTGCCAGGAAACTGGGAACAAAATTTACACTTACTCTGTGCCTGGTAATGAATACCTCCTACTCTTATCATTATTGTATTGCTGTTTTCCTCCGGTGCTGTTTAGCTACATACTAAGTTTGATTTTGTGAATCACTTTGTGGACTGTTTTGGACCAAGGGGTACTACACTTTAGATTAGACGTGTGCATGTGGGTATGTGTGCGCGCATGCGCGCGTGCGCGCGCGCGCGCGCGCGCACACACACACACACAGAGGCAGCTACTGCTAGATCCCCTCAGTTCTGTCTTTTAAAGCCACCTAAAGAAAACTCACGGAGCACTGACCACAGCTGATAGACAGATCTGTTGTCTCATAAGAAAACAAGTACCACTCACGGAAGTGCAGGGAAGCTTGGTATTTAAATGGCTTCGTACATCTGCTGAGTTCATTACCATCTCAGCCTGAGAGGTGCTTCAGCCCTCACTGTAATGGAAATGTTGCCATTGTCTTTTGTTCAGACTCTCTGAACTTCTCAGATCTGTGCAGGCACCACCTGAACTGACTTTAACCTCTACTCTGGCATTAGACATGCAGCTGCACGGGGATCACAGCAAACTTGTAAGTGCTTTGTGATGAGGCAGAAACAATGGTTTGGGTCTCACATGCTAGATCCTAAAAGCCACTTTCAAAATGACAGGTTTCAAAATAAAAAGAGGTTTGGAAGACTTTATATGCGAATGGGTGTCATGTCTCATTATATTTTTAGTCAAAAAACTGCTGTCTTGAAAAGACAGAGATGGAATATAAAGAAATTAATCTAATTCAGGAAGTGCTATGAACAATAAGAGAAATCAAGCAATTATCCCTAGCAGTAGACAGAGTGCTGAATTGTTAAGCACCCTCATCCTCTTGGATAATGAAAGAAAAGGACCTGAAAGGCAGGATTGATAATGAGCAATACTTACACACCAGTTTTTAAGATGTTTTCAGTCCGCTCTGCAGAGAAATATAATTAATCCTCTTGCACAGAGAAGAATGCAGAAACTAGCATTTCTAAAATGGTTTGGTCAATGTCAACAGTAACTATGCCTTTTAGAATATTCTTTAAATTTGCTCTTCTCGTGGTCTATCTCTTTCTGACATTCCCTATATTCAGCTTCCAAATGACAAGTTTGAGACTTGAATCCAAAATGTAGGGCTCTATTATACCCACTTTAGAAGTTGAATAAGATTAAAGGGAGCCAGGTATGGTGGTGCATGCCTGTAATCCAACACTTGGTAGGATGAAGCAGGAGGATCACTGCCATGGCTACATAGTGAGTTTAAGGTCAGCCTGAACTGCATAGTGAGACCCTGTCTCAAAAACAAAGATTAAAGGGAATATTTTATATTTATCTGTAGGATGCATCATTTTTTTAAGTGGAGGGGGAAAAATAAACCAAACAAAATATCTTCTTACTTTCAACATAAATTGTGACAAAGCTATTTCCAAAAGTAAATTTTGCTATCATAAATATTACCACAAGGGAAAGATCTATGAAGTACAGACCTGTGTATTTAACATTTACTGAAATAAAGAGAAAAAATGAACATAGATGGAACTTTGGCAGCCCCAAGGTCTGCAGGTCCTGAGATAGAAGTTGCCACTTCTATTGTGTGGCTTCTTGGGGGAACAACATGGTGGGCTTTAGACTGAAGTAGGCAGGTCCAGAGGCATTGCAAGTTCTGCTGAATTGAAAACACGTCTCCAGTTGGCTGCACCACTCCTCTGAAAGCTCTAAAAGCTCAACTACTGCTTCAGTGGAGGTGTCTTCTCTAGCTTGGGCTCTAGTGTACTGCAAACAAGGTTTTCACAGGTATAAGCACAGCAGTCGCCCTGAATTTAGAGTGGGCCTGAACTGTCTATCTGTGTAGGGAGGCAGGAAAATAGGTTGGAAAGTGCCACATATTTAGTACGCAGGGAGTGAAGGCAGAGCCCTGAAAAGAAAAC